CCCCACCTCCACGTATACCAACAGCCACAGATGCTCAAGTCCCTTCCTTATATAAAGTGGTATATACACCGAGGGACCTATATACACCCTCGTTGTACTTTAAATCATCTCTGGATCATGTATACCTTATGAAAGGTTTATGATATGTAAATAATTGTTATACTACAATGTTTAGGGAATAATTGTGAGGGAAAACGTCTGTACATATTCAGTACAGATGCAACCATCCATTTTTTTCTTCAAATATTTTCACGCTATGGTTGAATCCACAGATGCAGGACCCATGGATACGGAGCGCCAACAGTATACAGTTAAAAGTACGGAGAGGAGTTAGTATTAGGCGTGTTGGGAAGAAAGAGAGAGAATTTCTGGCTAGATGTTAAGAGAGAAAATAGGCAAGAATTTAGGAGAGGTAGCATTTGACTAATAAATTTCACTGGGCATTATGGAACCACATAAGTCTTCTAAATGCTGAAGTGGAATATCAGGTGCTTTGGCAGCAATGAGTAGGCTGGATTGATCTGTTAGGAAACTGGTGTGAAAACACCCAAACTTGTGTCACGAGGAGATCTACTTGGCAAACACTGCTGGTGTTGAGATGACAACTGGAAGAGCTGAGTGGTGAAGATAGCCCCAATGTACAGTGGGTAGGACAGTGGCTGTACCTGAATGGTAGTCATGACCGCAAGAGAAGAAGCAGGACCGAATAGTGAATTGCCTGGGATGCACTGAGCTTGAAAAGCCTAGAGCACATCCAGTTATCAGGAAATCAGAAATGAAGATTTGCAGTTCCGGAGAAGAGGCAAGAGGTCATGAGAGATTAGCTGAGAGAAACCCTTGAAACCATAAAAGGATCCCTATATAGCCCGTTTTCATTGTAAAAAGAACAGCACCCCAGTAAATTAGGTGTCCGTGGAGTTAACTACTTTAATTTTTCTCGTAGCGAGAGATGTATCACAGTAGTTACATTCTACGACTGAGCAGTGTGAGCCAAATTTTGGCTTTTCTTCAACACTGGGCACACCGTTCTAAAGTAGCATCTTAGATTACTTCTGCACAGACTCAATGATCTTGAAGTGACACGTGGAATTTGAGATGATGGCCTCATTTTATCCACTTACATCATAGTTCCAAAGATTCTGTCTTATGCTTTCTTTGATTTGAATTTTGTCATACTTGAATATTCTAATTGCTATGATTGTAAAAGGTAATATATTATAGAAAGCTTAGAAAATAGAAAAACATTTAAAAAGAAAGCAAAAAGTACTCATAATCCAAACAAATAAGTAACTGCTGTGAGTTTTTATATATGTGTATGTACATGTATATGCATGTGTACAAATGTGTATATTCTATGTGCCACATAAACATATATTATGAAAATGCATAGATGTATATACCATCTATATATTTTCTTAGTATTATAGATCATATCATACATTCTATTTCATATTCAATTATTAGTTGATATTACATTTGAACATTTTTCCATGTCATTAAAAATGATTAAAAAGCATTATGTTCCTGTGCCGCATAGTGTTTCATTATATGAACTTGTCATAACACTGAGTCATTCTCGTGAATTGTCATCGGACAATTCAGTAAGGTGTGTATTTTGAGAGGAAGAGGTGGGATGCCTTTTCTTCTTATACCACATTACGCCAGAATGATCACTTTCTCATGCTCACCTTCTCCTGTTACCACCACAACCCCTGATGATGGGGATGTTAGATGGAGTCATGTTACTACCCAATATAAGAGAAACGATGTAAGAAGTGCATGCGTGGTGGTCAGTATAGTGAAGGCAGTGCAGAATGAGTTTTGCTCCCAAGCCAACTGTTTCTTCTATCTTTTCCCTTTGTGGTTGTTTTTTTTTTAAATCATTTTAGCCTCCTTCACCAGTCCCCACCTATTCAGATGCATGTCTGAATGCATGCATACATGCACACATACCCATATCAAGACCTAAACATGGGGAGAACTTCTTAAAGTTCCTAAATTACAGCCTTTTTCATCATTATTTATGATGCACATTTTGCCTAAGAAAAAAAGTAAGCAATAAGTAAGCAATTGGAAGTTAACTTTAGGCAAGCTTGCTTTCCCCCGTGATGATGTAGTGAAAGGCTCGGGCCATGGCATGAACCCGAGAATGAGCTGAGCCCATGCACACGAATATGCATTAGCAGGACTGGACAGAGCACCATTGTTTTGATATCTTTCTGTTTTCACAGGTGCTATAGAGTCATTTTATGAGTCTTCACCATGACCCATGTCATAGAAAGACAAATATAGCTATAGTTTTGCTGAATCCAGGTTTCAAGCTCCTTGTTCAAACAAAAACATAATTTCTAAATCGGCCCAAAGCAAAGCTCAACATCTTGAATTCTGTACACTCTCCCTTTTATTCTCCTTCACTTCAGCTTGTCTCCTTCAGTGTTACTGTCTCCATTTTAAATATCATCAGCTGATAAATCAGTTGACACATCTGCAACTGTTTATTCTAATGTTGAAGATGACAAATTACAGCCATAAATTTTTTCAGGAGAGAAATCAATGGTAGGCATTTCTACATTTAGAAATTGATGTAGCATGAATAAAGATACCAGAGAAGGTAAAATAGAACTTCAAAATCAATTTGACGTATTACTTAATCGACTGCTATTAGATAACAGTGTATGTACAAACTTCCTAGAAGGACTGTGGAAGATGATTGGTGTTCTTTAAAACATAGTCCTTTTAGAAAAAAAAGTCCCTTTGTTACTAGATGTAAGAATAATTCTTACTAGATGTTAGAATTATTCTAACAAAAGGAAGGATTAAGCTTTCACCTGATTTCTTATCTGTCAGAAGAAAGTAGAAAAGAATAGGACATTTAATTCAAAAAAAAAAGAAAAGTTTAAGAGCTGTTCATTTCATCCTTGTGTAAAGAACAGTGGGATTGTGAACATTGCCAAAAGGCAGCATCCCATTTCTTTTTCTTTTTTTTTTGAGACAGAGTCTCGCTTTGTTTCCAGGCTCCAGGCTGGAGTGCAGTGGCACAGTCTCAGCTCACTGCAATCTGCCTCCTGGGTTCAAGCAATTCTCCTGCCTCAGCCTCCCAAGTAGCTGGGGACTACAGGCACATGCCACCATGCGCAGCTAATTTTTGTATTTTTTAGTAGAGAAGGGGTTTCACCATGTTGACCAGGATGGTCTTGATCTCTTGACCTCGTGATCCCCCGGCCTCGGCCTCCTAAAGTGCTGGGAATACAGGCGTGAGCCACCGTGCCCAGCCCCCATTTCTTATACATTGTTACTGAAGGTTAATACACACACACACAAACACACACACACATCATGAAAATTTTGTCACACAAATGAGTATAAAGAGCTTACACAAATAAATACAGAAAATTTGATCACGTAAACTAAATAAGTTAGTACTCCAATGACCTTCTCTCCTGGGAATAGATAGCCATCTTAATCGCTTTGTTTCCCATTTTTTAAAAAACAAGATTGGACTTCTCTCATGTATCCCCCTACCTTTCAGTAACTTCTTCAGAAACTATGCAGGCCCCTTTATCCCTCTCCATCTCCTTACTTTTCATCATCTCCAGCCAGTGCAATTTTAATCTTTGTGATCCACACTCATAGCTCACTCTTTCTACCCAAACACGTGGGTTTGCTAGCCGTATTTTATAAACCTACTATATCATCCTGTATCGGGGGAATGGGTGAAAATGGAAGTCTTCATTTATATTGAATGTAAAGATATATAGATGTATAAATATATACACATCCATCTATCCCAGAGGCACAGATAGAATACATGAGTCCCTTCAATACCCCAAAGAGGGCCATTCTGTCATTTATCAGTTGCAGCGTAAGCATCTTCCACTGAGGCGCTCCCATGCTCTGCATCTGTGCATCACCATCTCCCACTCTTGATGAAGGTGCTGTTGCACTAGCGGTCTTATCCAAAACCCATGAATCATTAGTCCTCTGCAAACCAGAAAACTAGGCCTCCGCAGGGACCCACCAGTCTTACCAATTGGAGACTTTAGTTGAAATCAGTGAAGTGGGTTAGAGTAGTTTATTGACACCCTAAAGGCCTCCAAGAACCTCCACACAGCCTGTGATATGTCTTGTGGACCCTGAGCATCCACTCTGTCTCTAAACCTCACAGGTTTCCCAGGGCCCTAGAGGTACTAACAAGCCATGGCAATCACTGCAATAGCAGTTAACACTGTATAATATTTTTTAGGCAAAAAAAAAAAAAAACAAAAAACAAATGAATACATTTTGACTATAATGGAAGAAGTGTATGAGAAGTTGTCAGGAAATGAATTTCAATGAAAAAAAACTTTTCACACTATCTCATTTTAACTGCCTACCTTTATTTTGGTAGGAAATTTGCCTTTGCTAGTAGTTGCCTGCTATGTTCAGTAGTTTCCCCCTCCCCTTATAAAATACCCCAGTGGCTACTTTCCAGGTATTAGTGAATTCCCTCGATCTGCCAAGAGAAGAAACCTGTTTGCTAATGCAGTCACATAGTATTGTCAGTTTTGAGGTACATATTCTCCTGCTTTAATAGCTCTCTCTTTCATCAGAAGTGAGACAGTTACTGTAACTGCTTGGTGAGCATCTGGAAGTAACATGAATAATGATGATAATAATAATGACCTCACAGGATGTATTATTTGGGGATTAAAGAACATTTACAAGCTTATTGTGTCATAGTTAATGATGAGGTGCCAAGTTTTCTTGCCACCACCCTTTGCAGTGGTATTTCCTGCTTGGATCAGAGAACTAATTATAGTAAATGGTGCCCTTTTAAAGAACTCACCCCATCGTAAAGCATATGCTGGCATAAAGATAAACTGTTTTAGTGTTGTTTTTCAGATACAGTTTATTAATGTTATTTTGCATTTGTATTAAAAATCTGTATAATGTAATCATTTAGTGTTTATTTTATTGTGTGTACCTTCTACTCAGAGGGTTGGCATTATTGTTCCTAACAGTGACGGATACAAGCAGATCATGCCTTATGACCTCTACCATCCCCTTCCTCGGTACGTAAATCAATCATCCTGATGTTAGAATTAGCAAATTAGTCTGCTGCTGCTTATCTATATTTAAAGGTATACATAGAGAAATTCTGTGTTTTTAAGATGGTAGATGGTATATTTTGCAATCCATGCTGAATTCTGCTTTTGACTAATACTAGCCTGTTCAGACTGTAAGCTTATCGTTCAAAAACTATTTTAAGGTAGAATCATATTACACTGGAGCGAACACGGTAATTCACTGTGATTAGATAGTGTACGGGTTTCTGTTATGTCTTGCTTTCTCTCCCTTTGTCCTTTTCTATTTTTCCTCTCAGTAGGACCCTAGTCATTAAAGCACTGTTGCTAACTGTTAAACAAACACTGCCTAAAGTATTATTGCACTACCACTAACATGGACTTCCAGATGTGATGTTATTCTGCATATGGGCTTTAAATGTCCACTTTTTATTTCAAAGAAATTGTAATTAAGCCCAAAAGGCAATTTTTTATATTCTTATTATTCAGAACATTTTGGGGGCTGTTTTTTCTAAACAAAATCCAATGTGCTGCATTGCTTTTTTAAAGTACAGTACTTTTAAAAACTTCTAAAAATCATGAAAGTAAGCCAAGAACTTTTAAAAGAAATTGTTCTCTTTATAATATATTCATATGAAAACTGGAGAAGCTGAAAAATGTACTAGCTACTGAGTGTATCGCCTGCCACATTGGAAACAGCTCCACAGATAGCAGAAATTAGAACTGGGATTGAAGTAGACCTATGCTCTATTTTCTTTGCTTATTTGGCCCTTGTGGGAATCAGCTGCTATTTAGAACCAAAGGTTTAAATCTGATCATAATTGTTTGGAGTAATCTACAGTAGCCTGCTCCATTCAAACTAAACCAAACCCAGAAAATAATTTTATTTTGAGCTGTAAAAGTTTAATGGAAAAATCTCCAAATACCTAATGAATTAGAATCCAGATGGAGGTCCCTCAAAGTCATCTAGTGCAGCTCCCCATTGATGCTTCATTCTCCCATTCCTTCCCCAACAATCACAGCCATAGACCACAGAAACGTTAACATATGTATTTATACAAATATGCATTCATCTATTCAATGCATACATATTTGCCCATTTATATACACATCTATCAATGTTTATAAAAGACATATATACAAATGAAAGTTGTCATCCAGTATCTACTTAAATATGTCTAGTGACTGGCTTTCACCTAATGATCACATATAGGAAACGAATTTGACTTGTACTAGATATACTTGTTGATTTTCTTGTTATTTTAAATTATTTCGCTATGTGGCTATGTCATTAGTCAGCTCCCTCCTACTTTCCTGTGACTATACTGATAAAGACAATAAATGGCTTTAGAATGTTCCTGATGTATTATTTTTCTGGTTGAATCCAGAACTCTTGTCCTTGAAAAAAATTTAATTAAAATACCAAAAGATTAATTTAACTGAACCAAGAGTTCATTTGGTTTCAATTTCTGTATCTGTAAAATAAATGTTCGTAGAATATATGTATCTGTTTGTATGAAAGCCATACATTTCATTATTTCAAGATAAAGGTAGAGTTGGACATCAGGAGTAAGCAACATCAAGTGTATGTTTTTCCTGGAATGGCAATTCCTAGATTGCTGTTTTATTTGTGATCTCTGTTGTTTATCTTTCTCTGTCATAACTAATACCTATATTCAGTTAAAATTGATTTCTTATAGATTGGGATTTTCCCCAAATGCCCAAATTCCAATGGAATATTAAAATGATCCTCCTGGGTGTTTGTACTTTGTCCTTGTGTATACTCTTGGCATATCCGTATATCACATTTTTTACCCCCTGTATGTCTAACACTGAACTAGTTCTAAAGTTATATATTCAGCTTTATTGACAAAATCTTAGTAAATGGAAGCTATTTCTACAACTACGTTTTCATTCATAAGAAGAATGGAGGCTCAAAAGTGGTTCTCAAATGGCAGCTGCCCACTGATCAAGGCAAATTAAATTATTTAAATGGGGTTAAGAACACAAGTATAGATATAAAACAATGAATATATTTTAGCTTATTCTTTCCTGCTTTCAGTCTTTGACTATAACACATATCCAGATGTAATATGAGAATGTAGTCTGAATAATTATCTTGATTTATAATTAATATATGCCACTCTGCTGCATCCTGCTTAATTTAAGAATTTCTTAAACACACTGTGTGTTTAAAAAAATTAAAAACCAAAAGAGTTTAAATGATACATAAATTTATTCAGTGTTCTCCAGGATAAGACTCTTGGATATGTCATTTTTATTCTGAGCACTTACCTGATTACCATCTTCAGATCTCCTGACATGCTCTCTCTCAGCTTTTGTTATGCTTTCTTTAAAACACACAGACGTGTTTTGCTTCAAGATTCCACATAACCCTATGCTTATATAAGGATTCACATGATAATTTTCTACACATATAACTGTAGCTGTATGCTGGAACCATAGTATACATTTTTGGAATAATATTAGCCTCATTTGTCTTTCTATGATCACTGATATTGAAAAAGATACTTATTGCTATTTGTGAAATTCTACTATAGTTAGGTCCAAGTGCTGAGACAGAACTTAATCACTCTCCCTTTAATAGGGTCAAGCTTAGGAATTTTAGAGTACCAATTAGAAACTGTGCTCTTTTATGGCATCTTAATATTCTAAGTGATTAAATGTACATTTAAAAACATATTCCTACTTCACTGTCAGATCAAATCTATTGTGAATATATACTTATGTATTCAACCCAACTTTAATCTGAATCAGGCCTGTTATTCACCTCCAGAAGGAAGCCCTCCAGAGATTTACGTGGAGACTAAGGAGAATTGGTCTTACCCATTGGGAAGAGAAACTCTCTACAAAACTACTTTATTCTCTTGAAGGAGATCAGAAGGTCTCCCAAGGGCCAAACAGAGGGCCTCAGTTTCCCCATAATGACATTTTCTTACATATCTCCGGGGGAAATACACATAGGAAAATATTATATTTGGCAGCACGTCTTGACTTTTGGCAGTGGAGATAACAGTTGTTCCCTAAACTTGAACAGTGCAGAGAAAATGTGAAGGAAAGCCCTTTGTAACTAGAAAAAAACACATGATTCAGGCTCATGCAGAAGAGAAATCAGGCTCACAATGTACACAGAAACCTGCTTACAGAATAATTAATGTCTCAATGGTGTGCCTCTGCAATATTTAAAAATTTTAACTATTCAAATGGATCAACTCGGTGACATTTTGTTTCTCTCATTAAAATTATATTTCTCATAATTCTAAGAGAAATCTTAAATCTCCGTAGCAATTCTCATCAATAAGCAGAATATATGCAAAAAAGACAAGCTCAACTCACTCAGTCCCCATGTTTCTGTTTTTAGAAATTCTACGTTCTCTAAATCTACAGGAGGAGAGAAAAGAATATGGCAAAGATATCTCTCTGCATCTGGGACCTAATGCTTCAGAGCTGTGTAAAGCTCTGAAAACAAAAATCAGTGGAAGTCTCTTAAATATTATTGACAATATTGTTATTTTCTACCTTACTTAATTATATGTCTAGATTCAGATGCCATTAGCCTTCCAACCAAAACCAAACCTCTTCACAGTTCCAAGAGTTCTTTACTGGAGGAACTCTAACTACCAGTATCCCGCAACATTTAGGGAATACGTAGATAAACACTTTGGCTCCTCAGCTTAATGATAGTACAGTTTGAACATCAGAATTGTGCTGAATCTACGTAGCCCCAAAGCTGATGATTGCAGAAGCAAAGGAGAGAGCCTTTTGTTTACCTATCTTTTATGAGCTTCTCCTCATAATATGTTCTTTAAAAAAAACATAAGTATTACATTGAAAATAATAAGTATCAGCAGGTGCAAACTATTAGTGTTAACTGAGTATACAACTTTAGTCTTGTGATGGATACTTAATGGTTTAATGAAAATAAATTTTATATATATGTACCTTGAAACTATGGGAGAAGGACAGAACTATATCCTATATCTTCTGAGTAGGTTGCAGATAGCACAGACATCTTTATGGACAGCTCTCAAGACTGTAATGGCTTACATTTGTGTAGAGCATCACAGTTTACAGAGCCCTTTTGCCAACATTGAATCCTTCTCTCTTGCTCTTCAGATTTCAGGCAATAGATGGCTTTTGGTTCTCTGCACCTTAGCCTCTCAGAACCTGATTATACCAATAGGCACGGGAAATGGGTTGGTCGACTGGTCACTGAGGAGACTTAGCAATGTGCCTGTCTGCCCTGATGACTCCCCTTGCTTCTGTAGGTGGGAGGCCACCCCATGGACCGCGTGCTCCTCCTCGTGTGGGGGGGGCATCCAGAGCCGGGCAGTTTCCTGTGTGGAGGAGGACATCCAGGGGCATGTCACTTCAGTGGAAGAGTGGAAATGCATGTACACCCCTAAGATGCCCATCGCGCAGCCCTGCAACATTTTTGACTGCCCTAAATGGCTGGCACAGGAGTGGTCTCCGGTAACTGTGCCTTCTTTCTTTGTTCATTAGGAGAGTAAGTCCACTCTTCCCTCTCATCATCATGGCCCCTCCGGGTTCCCTGTGCAGCTCCACACTCTTCTTGAGGTGTCTAGAAGCCTACCAGCTTAGCTCCTGGAGTAGGAATGCCCCAAATCCAGCATGACCAAAAGTAAATGATGTTTTTTTTAAAATGTCTTTCTTCAAGTTTCTTCAAGAAGCCTCTATTGTTCCCCAGATAATGTTCCCTCAAATGGCAAGGGGAAGCAACTGCCTTTCAAGAGTAATTGAGGCTGAATGACTGATTCTGAGTCTGTGAAAGCTGCTTTGATGATAGAGCTCAGTAGAGCAGAAGTTTGATTTCATTTTTTATGTATTATGCTTTGTATCCAAAATAGTCTAAGTGGATTAATATTAAAACTGTGTATATGAGTCATTGGAGGAGGGGGGAAGATGAAATGAGAGTAGCACAAAAATTAAAATTGGAATGAAATAAGATAATTAAAACAAAAAAAATTACAGATGTTAGGAAACCTGTTTTAATTAAACATAAAATGTCATTCAGGGTTTCCTGACTGCTAATGCAGAAAAGACAATGGCAAAGGAAATAGAAAGATCAAATAAACCATCGTGCCCTCAGCCTCAGAAATGACAAAAGCCTCTTCACTGAGCCCCATGGCTTTGTGGCAGCAGATTAGAGCTGCGACATTTTCTACATCTAGACATGCTACCAGACATGGGGAACCATGAGAGGTGCAATCTACATCAGGCATCTGGTCACTGAATCTGTTCTTTGAAATGTTATTTTTGCCTTTCAATGTAATCAACTAGATTGACAATGCTGCAATGTAATTTAGCTGTAATCCCAGTTTCAATATTTTAATATCCATGTGGGGGTATTTCCCATATTTTTGGAAGTAGCAGTCATTAGCAAAGTAGCTAAATAAAATGCAGTGCTGGTAATCAAAATTAAGCACGCTCTACAGTCTCTTTTCTCCTTTCTTCTTTTGGGTGCTTGGTTTGAGACTTTGCACAGAGTGGGTACTTAAAGATTACTGACCGATTAATCCAAAGCTGTAGAATTGAAAGTGATTTAATTTTTCAGCAAGCTTCACATCAAATAGCCAAATAGAACAAAGATCCCATGACTGGTAAGAAGTGGTATAAATTTACCAGGAGTCCTCATGTGGAAAAAAAAAAAAAGAAATCTTAGATTAAAAGTTGTAGGTGGGAAGTGAAGAAAAGTAAACAAGTCTTTGCCTACGAGTCTCCTCTCTCTTGCAATCTCTTTCCAGTGCACGGTGACATGTGGCCATGGCCTCAGATACCGTGTGGTCCTCTGCATTGACCATCGAGGGATGCACACAGGAGGCTGTAGCCCAAAAACAAAGCCCCACATAAAAGAGGAATGCATCATCCCCACTCCCTGCTATAAGCCTAAAGGTAACTTGACAGATGCTCTATTACCAGTCTGTTCATTGTTGTGTGTCCTCAGTGCTGTTTTAAACTCCATGGAATATTTTTAAGTATCCCAAGTATTCTTAGTAAGAATTCTTCATAACTTAAACTCTACTAAAGGAGCTTGATTCTTTTAAAGAATCTTTCAAATGGTTTTGATTGCAAAATTGTATTAAGCACTACATGTAGAAATCTATTTATATAATTACCTTCCAAGTCATAAAGTTGTTTGAGGACTATTGCTGGAGAATACAGATGTAACTGCTTAAAGGGAGACCAGCTATTCTAGAAATATGTTTGATTTACTATCCACATGTCTTGCTTTGAAAAACAAGGGAGTGAACCTAAGAATGTCCCTTTTGCTAGGACTGAAGTACATTAAGTCACATACTTATAAATTGATGAAACAGAAAACTTTCGCTTTTTATATTGAAAATTAAAACATTACTATGAGACTGAATTCCAGAACTGAATTTAAAATATATCAGAATTTAATAGATTTTGCAATGATTTATAAAAAAGAAATTTTAGGAAAGTGTAGATCTAAGTAGTTAGTAAGCCAGACTTCTTATAATTACACTGGGTATCTCAGAAAGAATACGAATTTGATTTCTGTACAAGTATTGTTACTTGTCTGTGTCAATGGAATAGAAAAATCTAAAGTCACAAACCATTCAGAAGTAAAGAACTCTTTATTATAAACCTCCTTTCATTTTTAATATGAAATATGGCTCCCATTTCTTTATTTCTTTAAGCCATTAAATTTCTCTGAAAATCAGTCACAGTGTAGCTCTTTATTATACTGGAAGTGGCCTTAATAGCAACTGAATGGCATCATAAAGTCTAAATTAATGATATAAAAGGAAACCAAGAAAAACAGAAATCCAGATTAATTTTAATAAATGTACCTTTGTCAAAGCCTTGGTTTCTTCCTCTGTAAAGTGGGATTAATTGTAGTATCTAAATCAGAGAACATGTGAAGGTTAAATGAGATATAACATAAACAGTGTTGTTAACCTGCTGCCTGGAATATAGTAACTTCCAACTATAGTAAGTTACTTGTAACTCCTGTCATTAGCATTCTCAACTAGAGGAGGAGGTTGTCACAGGTGCACCTGACAGGATTTAGTTCAAAACAACAAAGTATTTCAAGACTACTGTTAGAGCCAAACTGAATGCTTCCTCACTGAAAGACAGAGAGAGACAGCTTCGTTTACTGTCTTTTTTTTTTTTTTTTTTTTTTGAGACGAAGTCTCTGTCACCCAGGCTGGAGTGCAGTGGCACCATCTTGGCTCACTGCAACCTCTGCCTCTCGGGTCCTAGCAATCCTCCTGCCACAGCCTCCTGAGTAGCTGGGACTACAGGCACACGCCGCCATACTTGGCCAATTTTTTGTATTTGTTTTAGTAGAGACAGGGTTTCACTGTGTTGCCCAGGCTGGTCTCAAACTCCCGAGCTCAGGCAATCCACCCGCCTCGGCCTCCCGAAGTGCTAGAATTAGAGGCGTGAGCCACCGCACCCTGCTGACTGAGTCATTTACTGGGGTAGATGGAGGAGTTGTAAAATGATGTATGTATAGGTACTGTGCTGCTGTTTTCAAAGGTTAGCAAATCCTTTTGGCTTTGGTGGTTTTACATTTCTTACTTGCCTTGTTTTTTGACTATAAACAATTGCTGCACATAGAGAACAAGAAGTGATGGCCCTAACTTAAAATCGTCAATTGTTTATTAGCTTTATCTTCAAGCCACTTCAGAGAAAGAAAAGCAGTTTACGGTTAACTATCAAGAATAAAATCTTGATTTTCACAACTAAGGAGTGAGCCTGGCTCTCTACACATTATTAAAATACCATATAATTCTATGTTGCATATGTATATAGACATACTTCTTTCATCTTTGCAATTATATGTTATAAAATGGTGATAGAGCATCATTGGCTCATACTATAAAGGCAAATATGCCCATAAATGAACCTAATAAATATGCTAGAATGGGAATCTTGGCAGTTACTTCTGTGGGAGCAGTTATAACCTCCCTCTTCATTTTTCTCCACAACTTTTTTCCCAGTAGTTAACTAGAAAGCTTGTTCTGAATTGCTTGGCCAAAGCTAGACAAATAGGTGAAATAAGTCAAATTATGGGTTATGAACCTCACTTGCACATATTCCAATTGTCAGCGAGCCTTGGGGTAGTGTTGAATGAGTCAGATATCTAAAGCAATGTTTTGTGAATTTCAGAGTGACAGAGTTTGTTTTTGTCAATGTGACATAGATCACACCTAGCTAAAAGGCAAAAAAGAAAGTTAGAATTTATTAAAGTATCACAATAGAATTGATTGTACTTTGTTTTCCAAAGTAAATGCTGCTCTATCTTTTCAAGAGGAAATAGTGAAAAGATACTTGGATGATTCTTTATATGCATATTGAGCTAGTGCTCCTACACTTACAACTTTCATAATCATCAGACTTCCCTTTGCTCTTCATCATAATAAAGAGGAAACTAGTATTATTAAACATTTTTAAATTTGATTTTATTTTTCTTGATATAACCACCATCAGAGGCAGCAATTTACCTAAAAACTTATTATTCGTGTTGGTCAACATGGTAACTTCTTGGTAAGGAGAAAAAGGAATTTTCCTAAAATCCCAGATTGGTTCTAACCTCTTCTATGTGTATGAATTCTGAATTCTCAGAGAAACTTCCAGTTGAGGCCAAGTTGCCATGGTTCAAACAAGCTCAAGAGCTAGAAGAAGGAGCTGCTGTGTCAGAGGAGCCCTCGTAAGTTTTCAAAGCACAAGTTGTTCTACATTTGAAACCAATTTGTTTAAAGAAAGCAATGTCTCACTAGTTGTGGCTTTCATGGGTTCTGAACTAAGCGTAATCATCTCACCAAAGGAGGCTTTTTGGCTCTTGAATTAGAGATTGATGAGTTTCCAAAAGTGTTTGTCACAACGGATGATTGCATTGTAAATACTTCTGTTTTGCCTAGAGTAAGAAAATGAACGTGTATTGCTTACCCTCTTCTCCAAAATCTGACCTCCTGTCTTCTCTTGGCAAGGGGCCAAAGGTGAGAAGGCCCAGGCTATGGCTGATGATGTAACATAGATTTGATGGAAAAGCCTGAGCCGCCTTTCACACTCTCCCAGCTTTGCAATATAGTCACTCACAAAAATTAAAGAGTAAGTAAAGTATTCCTGGGGGTCAAAAGAGGTTCATTAACTTCTCTTTTCCCTTTCTTCCTGGGATCCGTATTAGGGGTGGACCTAGGTCTTTACCCTACTTGATCATTTCCCAAGTCTCAATTTTATCAAGGCCATGGAATCTATAAAACCATGAGGCCCAGATTTGCCAGATGCTTCAGAAGAGGAAACAAAGAGGAGAGACAAAAGTGGATTAATTAGTTGATTGATTGACTGATAAGTATATGTATTGATTTCATCAGAAAACATTGATAGGCAGAGCTGCTACATCACTTTTATAAATGAGGAAATGCAAAAAAAAAAGAAAGAAAAAGAAAAATTTCATCTGTGACCCAAGAAATTTCTCAGGTTGAAAATTTTCTAGATTAATTCATTTAATGTAAGTTCTAGGTTCTGTGCTATTCACTGGCACTTAAGATATGTCACCCAGCCTCCAGGTGTTCAGGTGTTCATAGCAGAGCACATAGGATATACAATGGTTTCCAAATTTTACTGGAGATATAAATTGACATTGCAGTTTATTCACATGTGATTTAGAATTTTCTCAGATTCATTCTGTTTGAACCAGAATGTGATGTGGTTTGGCAGAACACATCTGTTCTGAGTGGGCAAGAAATCCAAAGGACAGATTTGTACAATAGCCAAAGGTCATTTGTAAAGAAATGATATTCTGTCATTTGATTTCACACACACAAAAAGATGCAGACATTAGAAAAGACTTTTTTTTCTCTTTTATTTTTTGAGACAGGGTCTCACTCTGTCGCCCAGGCAGGGGTGCAGTGGTGCAGTCATCACTCGCTTCAGCTTCGGCCTGCCAGGCTCAATGCATTCTCCCACCTCAGCCTACCAAGTAGCTGGGCCTACAGGCGCAGGCCACCACACCCAGCTAAGTTTTTAATTTTTTTGTAGAGATGGAGTTTCTCTATGTCTCCTGAACTCAAGCAATCCGCCCGCCTTAGCCTCCCAAAGTGCTGGGATTACAGTTGTGAGCTACCGCGCCTGGCCCAGGAAACACATATTTTTACTTAAAAGGACAATTATACAAAACATAAATTATTTCTGTACTGTAAAGTTACTACAGCAACCATTTCGGCTTCTTTGAGGAAAAGCAACTAACCACTGCGGAACTTTGGAGAAAAGGGAGTGATTGAAGATCACAATGTATATGAAGGCTTACAATTTTTTGCTTCTCCTCTGCCAGTACCTGATTTGACAGGCCTTCTTGTTGCTGAGGAGTAACTAGGCAGCTTTTTTTAGAGGAGCATGAATAACTTCTTGACCCAGTAAGGTCCTATTTAAGACATAGAAAGATGCTATAGAATTAGAGCTGGTGACTCCTTTTATATCCTGTTGATTTAAATCTATTTGAAGCCAGGTATGTATTGTTTTACCTAAATAAACTCTTTTCCCCTTGTACGCTGCATTTTGTCATATGAACTGAAGCATAATCCTATGTATAATATTGCATTCTGGCTAATAATTCTGTAATATTATTCTGAAATAATAATACAAAATTGAAAATAAATAGAAACATCTTCCATCGATAAACATCTTCCCATTATTAGATGCCTTTCAAATGAAAGCTATCAGTGGAGTTTAATGCATATCCAGAAGCATTACATAGACCATCGTCAACCATATTTTGTGATGAATGTTTTCTACTAAAGGTCCGATTAAGATGCATTATGTTTAACTTTAATCTTAATAAAATTCCTAAAGGAGTTAAACATAGTTTTAGCTATTGAAAGTAGAGCCATATATTAAACTATTAAATTTTATTCTTAGCGTAATGAAATTGCCATCTTGGCGTGATTCATCTGAATTGGAGTAGGTTGTAATTGGGGTGCTGGTGCAGGGTAAAGGAAATGTATACATTATGCTCAGAACAGTAATTACTTTTATACCAAAATGAAATAAATGAAGGCTGTAGAATAATGTAATGAAAGGTATATGGTTTCCACATTTTAATACACTTTGCGTGTTTAGTGTACTGCACCCTAAGAAAGGTCCTAAGTGTCACATTATTTTTTTTTTATCTATATTGATTTTGAATTTAAAAAACATAATGTTGCATGGTCTTAATCCCATCTTTTCTTAAACCACATAGACTGGTTTCTAAATGTATGTAACAACCTATAATTACTCTCCAAAGCATAATGAAAAAATGATCAACTGTCAGCAAGTCATTCCTTCCCCCTACCGAAGAGACTCACATTGCTTGAATTAAACGGCAATGTTTAGAAGCTGTGGCTGTCACTTCTGAACTGCTGCAGCGAGGCAGGAACAGTGGTCCTGAACTATTATCTCTTGTTTGGGCTCCAGCTAACACTGGAGAGGTCTGTAGTTAAGCAGCAAGTATCATTTATTTCCCCATATGGAAAGTGAAAATATTATCACCAGCCTATCTCATTACAAAATAAATACGGGAAAATCACCAGATTAAAGTCTTCAGCATATGAAGATATCCTTGTTCAATGTTAGATACTTCTAGTTCAATGTTAGATACTTCTAGTAACCCCAAAATGTAAGGAAAAGATTGGTCAGCACTTAGGCCAAACATCTGTTGAGAAGCAACCACTTTAAGATGTTTAGAAGAAAACAATGACATGAGACTAAAAACTGAATTGCCAAGGAATAACTAAAACTTTATAGACCAGGAGAATATGCCAACAACCAACATTGTGGTTGCACCAAACACCACGTAGAAGATACAAATCCAGATATTAGTCTCATAGAACCACTGAAATAAATACGGAGATTGGCTCACATGGTGGTAATATATAGGTAGACTCATCATGTAAAGCTGAATCTTTAACTCAAAAATACTTCTACGTGTTGATTTTCTCCCTCAACAGCAGATTGGGTTATTAAGACACATTTGATTCATGTGGTAGAAAGGTAGGAGTATTGTGGTGAATATATATATATATTTTTTGTTTGTTTGTTTGTTTTCTTAAACAGTTTCACTCTTGTCACCCAGGCTGGAGTGCAATGACATGCTCACAGCTCACTACAATCTCTGCCTCCCAGGATCAAGCAATTCTCATGCCTCAGCCTCCTGAGTAGCTGGGATTACAGGTACCCACCACTATGCCCAGCTAATTTTTGTTATTTTTAGTAGAGACAAGGTTTCACTACGTTGGCCAGGCTGGTCTTGAACTTCTGACCTTGGGTGATCCACCTGCCTTGGCCTCCAAAAGTGCTGGGATTACAGGCATGAACCACCACGCCCAGCCAAATATATTTTCTGGGTATGTACAACATGAGGAATTTAAGACCAGCCTGGGCAACATAGCAAGATCTCATTTCTACTAAAAATAAAAACACTTAGCCAGGCATGGTGGTGTGCACCTATATTCACAGCTACTTAGGAGGCTGAGGCTGGAGGGTTGCTTGAGCCTGGGAGGTGGAGGTTACAGTGAGCTGAGATCACGCCACCAAACTCCAGCCTAGGCAACAGAGCATCTCAAAGAAAAAAAAAGTAAGTGTGTGTGTGTGTGTGTGTCTGTAATATATGTATATATGTGTACATATGTATATATGTATATCTATATATATACATATATATGTGTTTTTTTCCTTTGAGAAAAAAAATATTCTTACCTTTCTACCACATGAATCATGTATATGACTATGACCAAAAATGCATAATCTCCTGGGAATGCAGCCCAGCAAGTCTCAGCCTCATTTTACCCAACGCCTATTTGAGATGGAGTTGCTCTGGTTCAAATGCCACTGACCATTAGAGGTAAACTTCTACAATTACTAAGACTCTGGGAGAGTTGCATTTTTCTGAGGGTAATGGCAGTGCCATGCTAGCATTAGAAAAGGGGGACCTGAAAAATACTGATAAAATTATCTTCTGTTAAGTTTCAAACTATGTTGTTTCAAATTGCTGCCAGCTGTTGAGAGTGTTGACAGAGTTAGGATACATCATTTAAATGCCAGATTGAGCTCATCTGTTTACTTCCATGGAAAAAATACATAGGAATAACTTTCTAGGTCTTTTTAGAAACTCTCAAAAGTGTACCTTTATATGGTGAGGAATTGGAACTACAAAGTGGTGGTACGATTTTATTTGTTAATCAGGTGGAAGCTAAAGGAATTACTGACTGGCTTTCCATCTCTTATTTTTATGCCTTAGTTTTAGTCTTTGTTGAGATGTATACCTAAACATCACTATTACCTGACACGTATCAACCTGGCAAGTACATGGTGTGGCCCTTCTGACAGCTTAATTCCTTGAGGAGAAATGATACAATGGTGATCCCTAGGACATTTAAAGAAATTTTGTTTAAATTCTTTATGCATTCTAAGCTGAATGCATAGGAAGTCATTCAGCTTACCTTAAAAAGCCTGTTCTGACTTGGAACAGGAAAGAAATTGTTCATTTGCTTAACTCTTTCAGGCTACTAATAGGCCACCTAATGCCCTAGAAGGTATAATTTGCTAAAGGAGTCATGTTTAGAAAAAAAGAAAAAAGAAAAATTATAATCTGGACGCTTTAGGTGCTCTTCCTGATCTCTAAAACAAGGCATCTCAGGTAGACTAAGTGAGGACCAGTTGGGCACTTAGGGA